CGCCGCTCCAGACATTATTTGTAAATTATTCAAATCTTCCACATTTTAAATTATACGCGAGGCCATTAGCGTTAACATCGCACTTTGAGAATCATCTACGAAAATTTGATATATTGTTACATTACAACATAGCCTTCATACACCAAAGTACGATGGAGTCATTAAACGAAAAAAAATGTAATTCACTTATTCTGCAACGACGAGTTAACGTTTCAATTTTCACGGCTCGCCTGGGGAGTGCAAGAGTTAATTAGAAAAGTTCGAGAATCGTAAAATTATCTAGTTATCGACTCGTATACATATGGAGGTTGAAAAAAAAACCAGCCACACATGCACGGGTCAAAAATCAGTCTTGCTCAAAGGCGTCAATCGAGGCTCGTGTGCAGGTACATAACAACATCGCTGCGGCGCGCTTTCGAGTTTATTTTTCACCTCGTCGCAGCAGCTGAGTACGATCATGAAACTGCACTCGGTCTGCTACTCTCACGTTTTTTTTTCGCTCGGGATATACGTATTTAGAGCAGTGGTCGTAATTATTATTCCGCCCCTATATCGTCAGCACTGTCAGAGAGAAAAGAGAGAAGTCGAGAGAGTGAGTTAGAATATAAGCGTATTAGATGTAGAGCGTAAGGGACGAAACGAGGCGAAACGAACATATGCACTTCTGTGATGTTATATAAGCCACAGCGCGTGTGTGAGTGCATGCTCTATGTTGTTTTTTTTTACAACCCGTAAAGTCATATAACCTCCTCTGGGCTGCGTTTATATAGATGTATATATACCGCACTCCTCTTTTCTGCCATGCAGCAATCAATAACTTTGAAGCGCATACGTTGCAGCGGCAGCAACGGCGGCAACGGCAGCAGCAGAGAAACAAATTTAGCGCGCACAAGCAGCTTGATTGGAAAAAGGGCAGGGTTGGGTCGGGTTGGTTGCTCGGCTGCCACTGCTTCTGCATAGAACAGCACAGAAACTCGTATGTATATATACGTACGAGTGCATACGTATATGCTGCGCTGAATACGCAGCGCCGCGCCGTTCAATTCTCGCTATATTTGTCTCTCGCAGGCAGCTATATATACAATCTCCTAGCAGATAGTAGCGGAGCCCGCAACGCCGTGGCATAAAGCTTATACTATGTAGCAGTGAGACAAGAGAAAACGGTCAGCTCTTTCTCTTTCTGCATATAGCAGCAGTTGTGTGGCTACGTGTGTGTATATATGTATAATTCGGCGCGCGAGACTATACGTACGAACGCGTCTCGCATAGTTGCACTCGTGCACTGCCCAGCTCCCGATGCCGTAATTGTTGTCCCAGCATTACTTCTGTTTTGCTTGTCCATACTTTTTCTCGTTGTGCTTTTTTTGTCGGACTTTTTTTTTATTTTTCCTCGTCCAGCAACGTCGTGTATGTACACGCGTATACAGACTAGCGCGGCGAATTATTCCTTTCTGATTCAACGTACCACCCATCGTACAGCACTTGCTCGTGTGCGCGAATGTGCAAAAAGCCAGCGTTGCAGAGAGAGAGAGGGAAAAGAGATGCACCGTGTGGCCCCTTTTTCTCGCCCGCTCGCGCGTTTTATTTCCCAATTTCAAGGGACGAACAATAAACGCTCTCGCTCGTTCGATCTCTCTCTCTCTCTCTCTCTATCTCTCGGCCTTTTAAACGTTCGTTTTTGCCATGAGAAAATAAAAGCTACGTAGCACGCGCATATATGAACGCGGCTGCAAGAGCTCACAGGGGAACGCGTGTGTATGTGTACGCTATGCCACGACTGTTCTTCTCAAATGCACATGCGCCCGCACGGAAAAAAAGACGACTCTTATTCCGGCGATGAATGCATTGTCAAAGAATTAATCGGAAAGACCGGAGCGCACTTCCATTGCTATGTTTTGACTATGTATAGACAGGCGCGTGGTACTTAACTGGTTTCGTCGATCACAAATTTTTCCACCCGCTTTTCTTTTTATTTGCTATGCTGTTTTTGCGCATAGAACACGCTGCGCTTTGTCGAATTGCGTAAAAGCCAAAGTTGGTGTTTATTTACAAAAGGCTGCGCTGAATTGCGATTGAGATATTCGTATGTAGTCGTTCTTTACTTGGGTTGATAAAAACAATTGCGTGGATTCATTTATTTTTAAAACTATACCCGAAGCAGAGCTTGAAATTTTTTTGTTTATTTGTTCATAATCGTCAAACTAATTCAACTTTATAATAGCTTATAAAACGATGTTCTCACAGGGAATCGTTACAATATGTGCAACTCTGCTGCCGCTGCATATATACCAGCATGGAAAAGACGTATCAATAGCCACGCGATGTTCCAGTGTGTGCGCCGCCTCGAGTGCCTCGTAAAACGATTATTGTCGTCGAAAGTATATGATTATAGCTTCGTTATAACCATCGCTCGCTTAGTTGCACATTGAACACACAAACACTCACGCAAAAGAAAAAGACTCGGCAAGCTCGAGTATATAGTCAGGGTTAGAATAGCTGTGCGTTATATACTCTCGAGCGAGGTGAGGATTATAAATTTTCTGACTTTGTTTGTGTTTATTTTGTGCGCACGCGAATCCAGCCCGTGCAGTTATTAAAAGCATATAAATGCGCTATTCGTTACATTTAATTTGGACGTGCTCCGAGAAAATTGCATAATTTAATTTTATATGAAAGATATGACACGTTGCAACTTATAAAGGGGAAATTCATTGTTTACAAAAAAAGATCGTGAAAAATATCATTGCCTTTCGAGTTGTATATAAAATCATATTTTAATGCACTCTCAAATGTCATACTAAAATTTTATCTCAAAATAATAAACACACGAAATGCTTGGCTATTTTTTTGCAGATACATATCGGTCGAATTTTCTCGTAGTACGACACACGCGTGTCTCGTCCAAACGAGTCGTTTTAGGTTCAATATAGCGTCGTTAACGTCTCAGCTCGTTGCGCTCTCGAAAGTCTATAAAAGAAAATAAATAACGTTCGAATTAACGTTTCAAGGAGAAAACAAGCACAATCAAAACTTTTATTAACGAATGCGTTATGCGAACTTGTGTAACGGCGGAACGTGCGGGCTGTGCGTGCAAGCGCAAAGTGCATCATTTTTAATAACCTATACCCACAGAGACTGATGTAAAAGTGTTTACCATTTTTTTTATTATACTATTTTATAGGAGGTGCAATAAAATTACTCCCAAAGGTCTTATTAATGCGAAATATTCATGAAATTGCGAGAGAAAGATGCGCGAATATAATATCAATAAAAGTGAAAAATTCCCTACAACTGTTGCCGTTTGATTATCATGATGCTTTACGACGATCTTTTGAAATTGTATAAGTGTGCAAAACCCAAAAGAATAAAACAACATTTTTTATTTCTCGCGAAAGTTCAATAACTTGCGAAACGATGAGTGGTTTGATTTTACTTAAAAATAATTATAAAATAATGCACTCTTATATATCTCTGCACGAACAAGCAAGTCAGAAATCAATGTGTTATTTCCACTACTTATCACCATCCTGTGAACCAACGAGTTTGAGGGAAGATCCGAGAGTGATTACGTATCCATTGAATGATGGAAATCATTACGGCCTTGGGCCTAACCTTTCATGCCTCAAATCATTAAATCCTATTGCGATCGGTAAAGAAATATCATTCATATAAGGCTAGTATTTGAATAAGCAGTTGAGCGTTTGGCGCAGAATTTCCGAAAAATGTTCAACCTGATGGAGCTATATTATATGCAGCGTGCATAAAAGCCAAAGTTGGTGCGAGCGAGACGAGCGAGAAGCAGCGCATTGCAGCGAATTTTAAGCGTGGGACATTATTCGAATTTAGTTTCACAAAGCTACGACCAATCTTGCTAATGGCCCACTCGCGCGACTGATGTTCCCTTCGCAAAATTCTTCTCCTTCCTATATACGTATATACGTATATATCGCGCGTATATATACCTCTCTCTTCTGTCGCTGTCGTTGCTGGTGCTGCTGCACCGCCATCGTCCGGATATATCTTCCGCCTACGCGCTCTACAGGACCCTATGAATATTTATTCGCTCGACTTGTTTCCTTTTATTAAAACTAATAAATTCGGATCGTTCGAGCGAGGTTGCGCTGCTGAATTTGTAAATATCGTATATGGAAAAAAGCGACGTTCTCGTGGCGTTCACATAAGTACGTATCGTTCCTATACGCATACATGTAGCTCGTAGATCGTATAAAGCTTTTTCAGTCTTATTGTGCTTTTGTACTGATGAATAACACCAAGCGGTGAAGCTTTGGGAATGAAAACTAGATTTAATGCAAACTTGCAAGCTATAGTTTGCACAGTGAACTTTAACGCGATAATGGTTTAGTTCTTACACCCCCAGGATATCCCCGCAGTCATTGTTTTAATTAAAATTTGAAATGATATAATGTGGTGTACGTACTTAACAAGCTTATAAACTGACATCAATAAAAAAAGAGCCATTGATCATTTATCGTGGCAAACGAAAAACTTATAAAAACTTGTAATACTTGAGCGGGTGTTCGGTTTAATTTGATACAAGAACATGATGCAGGCAACCATTATATTGTAATAAGTGCAATGACAAGCGCTGTCTACATGATTTTGATGAAAATTAATGAAAAGATTGCTCATCGCCAATTCTAAAAACCTTTGAAGAGTTAATAGATGACGTTTACAATATTTTTATCGATAACGTTTAAGGGTTTCTCCGAGGGAGTAAAGCAATATGAGGCCTTAGACATCCAACACTGCCATCACTTTTATCGATTTAAAATTGTGTCTTTTTTTCTTCGGTACGCATGATTACCTGAATTTATGTTGTATAAGGCTCTATAGTGTTAAGTGAAAATGATACGATATTTTTGCGTAATTTAATCATGTACTCTTCAGTTGGTTCTTATAACTCTAGTATAAATAATGTTATAGAAATAATTAAGAGACAAAATAGTTTCTAGCTTAATTTTCAATTTTATTTCAATATTTTATAACATATCTGAGTCGCGACAAACATAATTTTTTACAGTATCATTGGTTTTAGGTAAACTAAAACAGAACTCAGAACATACACCAGAATTGACTTCACATGCATGCTTTTCGGTTGATATTATAGATCGAAAAATTTTAATTTTCATTATTTTATTTGAAATGTCTTTTAACAACAAAGTTGGCTTACTTTTCTCTGATTTGTCTAAACGCCAAATACCTTCGCTTCGAAAATATACCAAATAAATCCATAATTTATCAACAAAAATCGATCGGATATATTTTGTAAGAGTCATCAATTGGGTATCCAAAATATTATTCAAATCGAGGTCGGAATGACGAATATTTGGTAGATTCCAATCGTACCAGTAAATTCTATTTTCATGTAGATCTAATGTAAAACCAGAATATTCGCTGAAGGAGATATGACGAAAAGCGATTAAATTAGAACCATCCGTATTAACTCTACTCAAGAATTTATTTTTTGATTCATCGAAGGATTGTAAAAAGTAAACGAAGCTTTGTTTTGGATGAACAATAATGCATTCAGGGTTTGTCAAGTTTTTCAGTACAGTTAATTTTTTACCTTTATCTCTCATACTGAAAACTTTTATCGTTCCATTCCATGAATCCGTAACATATAAATTACGTGATATCCAATCGATCGACAAACTATTATAATTTTCATACATTCCAATTGAAAATTTTTCTTCAGCCTCCGCATCAGTTCCGTTTATACGTACTTTATAAATAGTATCGTATTTCAAAGCACTAATGGCAATAAAATATAGGTAATTTTCAACTTTATCTAAATCAAAATCAATCAGCTTCATGTGATTTTCAAGAGAAATAGGCAAATAGGCTTCACAAAATATGCAAGGATCAGTAAGTCGACTTTTCAATATCCTTGAATCGCTGTACATTAGAAAATCATCTACATATTCACAATCTTTCAAATTTTTCTTTGCTTTCCAACCAATATTGCAAGCACACCTATGAACATTCTCATTGCTCAACGTAGAAATGCACATGTGTTGACAATCATTCTTTTTTTGACAAGAAGTAAATGTTGGTTTTTGAATAGTTGATTTGATAGCTTTGACAACTGGCGGAGGATTCATTGGATAAACATTTTGTCGACGAGCATTACAACTGTTGCCACAATTGAAATTATAAACCATGAATTGACTTGCCATAAATATACTTTCATTGTAAACTGCAAATTTAGTCCAACCGATATCGGCTGAGGTGTTGTTATTTAGATGTAGAGTGGCCAATCGCGCTCCCGAATAATCGCTGGCAATTACAACAGAACTATTTTTCGATATCCAATAGAGTTTCTTGCTGTTTGTATCGACAAATATTCCATGCAAAATGCTGAGCTGCGATTCAATTATATTCGTCGAGAAAGTACCATCGAGGCTGGCTCGAATAATTATATGTCCGTCCAATATGAACATTATCCTTTCTCGAGGATCTAATTCTATGTCGCTTGGTCGTACTACGTTGCAGCTGCTTATAATATTGTAATATTTACCGTCTAATTCAAATATATCGATTTTCAATCCCATAGTGTCAACTACATATAGTTTGTCGTTTACGAAGTCTATCGCCAGAGCTATTGGCTGCCAATTTCGTTTCTGCTTAAATATGAATCTCGTGGACGTTTTATTCGGATCCAATGACTGTGAATTTATCTCACGACGGTTATAATCTATCCAAAATAATAGTCCTTTTGGCCAGTGATAATCAACGTCGGCAATTATGGAACTCTCATCGATTTTGTACTTGTATTTTTCACCGCTGTTTTTTAATAACCAGATTTCATTTCTGCGCGTTACCAAAAAATCTAGTTCATGATCATATTTTGCTATCAAAATATATAAAGCGGTATTAATTTCTATATTTCACATCTAAAGTACAGAACACTAATTTACCTTTATCGTTTGCTTTAACCAAGTGTAAAAAAAGCACAAAACACCATGAAATAATCATTGTAAACGAACGCACGATGCTACACAGAGAATAATCAACGTTTGGCTAACTTGCATTGCTTCAGTTTGTTAACTAAACTTTTTCATGCAGAATAGAAAGCAGATGGCGATGCACATTACGCAGTATCAAATGACTCATTCAAAAATTACGATAGATTGGGAAAAACATTAGTTATTTTACTCGTTTATGATGCACTCACTCGTTACATTCATTCCAACATACATGAGTTCATTTTCAGGAAAAAAACTTACGCACTATATTAATAATTCAAAAATTAATTTTGTTCTCGTCGACATAATATTTAAGCGTAAAATAAAAACTTTATACACGTCGAGACGTGTGGAGTAACGAGTTGAAGATCGTTCGAAATTCGCAACTCTGGAGAGATGAAGTCGGCAAAGCGACGTATTGAAATTCAATGGCATCGTCAAAATCATCCAAACTTCTCTTCAGCTCTCTTTCCCGCATGTCTATGCTGTATATATCTATATACCAGAGCGAGCGAGCAATCTAAAGAGAGATAAGATATATAGCGACTAGTGCGCAGGATAAGGGAGCTGGTACTATGCTATATACACTAGGCGGATCTCCAGAGCAGCCGTTAAAACCGAGGCATACAATAATCTGAGCGTGCGCTCGCGATTCAGCAATCCTCCCCCGTGCCCGCGTGCGCCACAGCGAACACTGTACGTGTAGCGCGTGGCTGCAGCAACATTCCATTAATTCGCCTTGCAAAATTTGTCGCTCGTATTAAATCTCGACTGGATTAAGGACACAATCTAGCTCCAAGCTCGAGCTTCTTCCTTCCTGTTTTTCCACGTAGAGCCATGAGGCTTCGTGTGCTGCTACGCCGCGCAGCAGAGGCAGCTACTGCTTTTTGTTCAGCCGCACAGCCCGCGCGCACAATTTCGCCTCGAATTATCCGCTTTTCTGTCTCTCTCTCCTCTCTTACTTGCTCGCTTCTAAGCGCTTGTATAGTTATATTACGTCGGCGTCATCATCTAGTCTCCCCGCGCGTAATTTATATGTATGAGTAAACGGCGCGGAGAAGCTTCATCTATCTAGAGCTGCGCCAGTGCGCGCGACGATCGTTGTGCGTATAATTGAAATAAAGCGAAATTTCGTATATTGTATTAAAATTTTGCAAGTATGAGACAAATTATATTACAAAAAATTTTAATCATCGTTTATGTCTGAAAAATATCCCGATTAAATCAAATGATTGATCCTAATTGAAGTGAAAAATTCAAGGTACTTTTTCCAATTGAATGAATCAATCCAAGTCGATTCATTAATATTTATAAAAAGAAAAAGTAACTCTCGCGGACAAGTATTTAAATGAAGGCGAGAAAGAAGGCGATGCTAAGTATGCACGCAGAAGCTACTACTATATTACGGTTCGACACGGCACTTCTAAAGTTTTATGACACTCGGATTCGATGGTCGAGGGATTAATGCGCCTTCATATATAAGTGCGTGCAACGACGATATTTCAATTTGGCGCACGAGCGGTCCGCATAAAAGGATGTAAATTACATTTTTGCTTGAGCGAGGATCGAGACTGCCTACCCGGAGGATACGATGAAAAGATGTGTGTAATCGTTTTATTAACCGAATAAAATCGATAATTGGACTGAATGAAAGAGCAAGAATATATGTATATTACACGTTCCGTATTATATATAAATATACTGAACGGCGACCCCTCGAGGATTCTGCTGCGCTGTATTGACACAGATGTTGCGCATACACGTATAATAAACGCACGGTCGCGAATCTTGCGGCCTATTTTGTCACCGTGTACGTAGCACATGTTGTATGAGAGATGATCAAACTTCTTTGCACTGAGGCGTAAACGTTAATAATTACTTTTACCCATCTATCATTCGTTCATCAAACACTCCAAACGATTTTGCTCGTCGAGTCTATTAGGCGTCGAGGTAACGAGCTTCGTGCGATTATTTGATATTTTTCATTTCTATTTCATCAGCACCCATTATGGGTGCAAAGTTCGATTTGCACGCATCGAAGTAAGTCATTAAAATATATATTTCGCAGCATCGAAGTAACGCGTAGCTGTATGGATCGGCGGAGAATGATTAATCGCTGGATCTCAGCCAAGTTGCCTTTTTCGCTTCGTTGACTAGTGACGCATTAATGTTTCCTGCGCTTTCAGTTTAAAGACAAATACCCCCCGAGATCGTTTCGGACAATGCCTTTGAGTCTATCATTCGAACAGAAGCGATCACTGCTGCTTATGGAGTTTTAATTTATATGTGATATATACCAAGTCAGACACGCGACCAACCGGACATTTAAATGTATACTTTTACGAGGAAAACTGTCGTTACTGCCGTTGGCAAAAGTTTGCTTTGGTTCTCACATTGGTCTATGGGAAATTTTATTTGGATAATTTCAATTTTTTAGTACTGGAGCTTGGAAAATATTTGAATAAAAGTATTCAATAAAATAAATAAGGACATAAACAACAAATATTTGGACCAAAAAATACAAATCATTAAAGATTTACTTCATAAATCACGACATATCAACTACAATCAGATTAGCTATTGGCTTATTGACGTAAATTTTCCCAACATACGATATGCACACGTTCATAAATCAAGTTTTATATATTCGAGAGAGAGGCAGTCTTCGTCGCGATTATCGGCTATATTTACTCTACATAAGTTACCATTATCGCAAGAAATATACGTGTTGCACGCGCCTCCCCGCGCTTAATAGGCAGTGGCAAAAAAGCACACGCACATTAAGAGGCATCGGCTTCAATGTAGCCTTTTACTGTGCTGCTCTGTATCGTCCTATAAACACGGGCGTTTGCGTTGTTATGAAAGGGGCGGACCCTTTGGGCACGTGGCTCCAAATAACTTGCCTTGTTATGACAGGCATAGACACTTCCGCCTCTTGTTTCCTCCCTAAAATATGTACACATAGATATATGCGTATATGCATATGCGTGTGCATATATTCGAGTAACTCCCTACTACCGTACTCAGGATTTATCTTGGTGACGTTCGTATGTAACCCGTAATCATTCACTGGAATATAGCATCTTACTCTCTACGGGTGGTGGCGGGAGAAAAAGAGAAAGATGGATCAAGCGAAGTAGTAGTTTTAACGTGACTTTCCAAGATTCGTGAAAGCTAAGGGAAGGGTAAAATAGGTTCGATGATGACCTTTTTAAAGGCATCAAAGTTAACTAAAAATAAGAGTGACATTTAATTTGAATATTTTTAAAGTCAATAATTGAATGCATCAAAAAAACTGTTCACCTTACGTAATAAAATGAATTAATTATCAAATTAGTCTCGATACCCATTATTTTTCTTTTATCCTCATATAAGAATTCAAAAGGAGTTAATTATGCAAAATCATACAACCTCTTTAACAAAAGAGATTATGTCAATTATACAATTAGAATTAGAAAACGGACAATAAATAAAAAGAAAAACCTTTGATTTTTTTCGTATGATCAGTTTGATGTAAACAAAAGTTTAAAGTTTGATATACGAAGTGTAAGGTAAATTAAGATCGCCAAAGAGTCTTTTAAATAAATATATTTTGTTGAAGTTTGAGAAAACAAGATTCAAAATTTGATTTTTCTGCACACTCTTCTATCTTTTTGAGTAGATCATCGTTTTACATATACAGTAGATGCCGCTTATATGAATCTCGCTTAATCGAATCCGCCGTTTATACGAATCAAAACGCTTGGTCCCGATTTCCCTCTATACTTTTACATGTTAATTAAAAGTCCCGATTTCAGTATAATGGAATCAAAACCCGTTTATACGAATCAAACGATATTGAACCGTCATCAAGTAAACAAATATAAAATTCGAAATTCATCATGCCTAGAAAAGATTTAACGTTGCTCCAGAAGAAAGAGTTACTAAAACAGTACGACTTGCTCGAAAAGTGCAGTCAACGTGAAGCAGCAGCAAAATTAGAAGTTTCACAGACGCAACTCAATAGGATTTTGAAAAATCGTCATGACCTAGAAGCGGCTAACATTGAAAACGGAAGTTTAAATCGTAAAAGAAAAAGGTGTGGAAAAGACGAAGATGTTGAGAAAATTCTTAAAAAGTGATTGGGAAAATCAGATTTTAAAGTCACCGATGGTTGGTTTTCTCGATGGCTTCGAAGAGAAAATATTGTTTTTTGCAAACCTCATGGAGAGCAAGCTGAAGCTGACGCGAAAGGGGCTGATAACTGGATTTTAAATGAATGGCTACTCGTAAGAGAAAAATATGAACCTTGTGACATATACAACGCTGACGAAACGGGTCTGTATTTTCGCGCTTTGCCTGAACATACTTATATTTTCCAGAATGAAAAACTTTGAAAAACGGTTAAATTTGACAAACCTATAAACGTTTTTTTTTATTAATATTTACCATTTCTTACTGCATCGTTTAATTGAATCAGCCGTTTATACGAATCAAAACGTCTGGTCCCATCGTGATTCTTATAAGCGGCATCTACTGTATATTTTTATTTCAACACAAACAATATTCAATTAATAAACTTTTTTTACGGAGAAAAAATTACAACGGTAGAATTTATTTCTTTATTCTTTCAAGATTATCTTGAAATTTCAAATTAATCATTCCGAAAAATGTAGTGAGCAAAATGATTTTGACACTACAGCAATAAGCATTGCTAATTCCGAACTAAATAGCATAATTTCACACAATAAAGCTTATGTGCGTCTTACGCTAGCGCTCACGCTTCTTCTTCATCCTTTATTTATATCAACGTATGTATTTGTATTATCTTCTATCGCTTAGGTAATGCAAGACTCAGGGAAATAATATATGCTCAGGTACGTATTATGTATGCCCTAACTCTTACATTTTCAAGTGTGTTATATGTATACGTATAAATACGTATGGCGTACGTGTATATAAGAAGTGTAAAAATTTTCATTTATCCGCGTTAAAATCTTTACTGGGTATTGTTCTCTGTGCTTCGCGGTGCACGGAGCTCGCCGCGTGGTGAAATGAAAAGACAAAAA